ACAGGCGCCCGCCACAATGCCCGGCCATTTTTTGGTTGCAGCCATCATTTTTGTTTGGCGGGCCTGGGCTGGGGATTCGAACCCGCCACCTTAGGTGTATGTGGCTGGCACCTTAGCTGCTTGAGCCACAGGCGCTGAGTCAATGTTTTCTATTTTTATAGAAACGGGTCTTGCTCTTGCGCAAGCTGGTCTCGAACTCCTGAGATCAAGCATTCCTCCTGTCTTGGTCTCCCAGAGTGCTGGGATTATAGTTGTGAACCACCATGCCTAGTCACAGCACAGGGTTTTTTGAATCAGGGAGGGGAGGGTCACAATCCTCCATGCTTGACAAAGATTCTCCAGTGTATGGAGGAGCTAGTGGGTGAGCCTGAGATATGGAGAACACCTTGCTTTTCTCAGTCAATCCACCAGAATCCCAGATGCCTCCTCCTAAGGCTCTCCATGAAATGTCCAGAGGCCTCTAACCTGTCCTTCAGGTCTTGTCTCTTTTCTAGAGCTACAGACAGACAGCTATGCCAGGCAACTCTCCTAGTTGGGTCTGAGGGCATCCATGGTGCATTTGAAGGCACATCTGGGAGTGGAACATTTATGTGGCCTCTACATGCAGGGGAGGGATTAATATGACCCCTGGGACATTCCAGATCCCCCATGTCCATCCTTTATCTATTCCATCTGTGATGCCTCACCCAGGCCTTGGGTGTCTTCAGACTAGTTCTTTGCAAAGGCAGATGGGAAGGGTCCCTGAGACTGTAGGAAAGGACCCAGGTGGGGCTGGACCCCAGGCTGAACACACTTTCCTCTTTGTCCACAGCCCCTGGCGAGCAACCATAACGTCTTCAACACCAGCTCCAAGCTGGCTGAGTGGCGCATGCGGGTAGAGTTGGCAATTGGCTCTGGCCTCTTCTGGGAAGCCCATGAGCGCCTGGTGAAATTGTCAGAATGGGACTGTTCAACATTGGATGCAACGGTCAAGGAGAGGATCTGTGAGTTTCTACAGAAGTACAAGTGATCCCAGAGGCAGCCCATCCTTCAGGGCTTGGATGGTGTAGCCCTCTGAGCCTCCTTCCTCAGGGTAGATGTTAAAAAACAATTCTGTTTTCTGCCTAATAAAAAAATAGAACAACAGCCTGGGGCCTGCAGCACAGTGGTTATAGCCGGCCACATGCACCAAGGCTGGCGCGTTCATGCCCAGCTTGGGCCTTCTAAACAATGACAACCGCAACAAAAAAATGGCTGGGCATTGTGGCCAGCACCTGTAGTTCCAGTTACTTGAGAGGCTGAGGCAAGAGAATCGCTTAAGCCTAAGAGTTTGAGATTGCTATGAGCACCATGGCACTCTACCCAGGAAGACATAGTGAGACTCTGTCTCAAAAATAAATAAATAAATAGAAATTGAAAAATAGAACAACCATCATGGCTGCTGAGCCTGGGACAGTTGGTGTAATTGTAGGGGTTATCATGAGAGGCGATGGTGTTCAAAGGTCCTCCCAGGTTCCAAATGGAATTTTAAAATTAAAGATTAAATATAACTACCTTGTCACTAAAAATAGTTGATAACTTCAGTAGCTTTTTAAATTTTTTAATTAATTTATTTTTGGAGATGGAATCTCACTTTACTGCTCAGGTTGGAGTTCAGTGGTATGATCATAGCTAACTACAGCCTTGAACTTCTGGGTGCAACTGATCCTCCGCCTCAGCCTCCCAAGGAGCTGGAACTATAAGACATGCCACCATTCCCAGCTTCTACTTTTAATAATAGAGCAACAGCAAAAGATCATACAAGGAAGCAGAGGACTTGAACGCTACTATGAACCAATTGGGACGCACAGAACACTCCACCCAACAACAGCAGGGTAAAGATTGTTCTCAAAAGTACTTGGAATATTCTCCAGCAGAGACCACATGTTCATTCATAAAATAAGTTTCAAATTTAAGGCGACTGAAATCACACAAAGTGTGTTTTCCAAACACAATGGAATAAAATTAGAAATCAATAAAAGAAGGAAAATTTAAAACTTCACAAGTAGGTAGAAATTAAACACACTCTTAAACAAACAATGGGTCAAAGAAGAAATTACAAGAGAAATTAGAAAGTGCCTTGACCTAATGAAAATGAAAACATAACATACCAAAATGTATATAGGCTATAGCAGAAGGGAATTTATAGCTGTAAACACAAACATTAAAAAAGAACAATCTCAAATCAATAACCTAACTTTACACCACAGGAAACTAGAAAAATAAGAGCAAACTAAACCCAACACTAGCAGAAGAAAGGAAATAAAAAAGATTAGAATGCCATCTGGAGATAGGCTAGGCATGATGCTCATGGTTGTAATCACAGTGATTTGGGAGGCCAATGTTGGAGGATAACTTTACCCCAGGAGTTTGAAACTAACCTGGATAACATAGTGAGACTTCATCACTACCAAAAAGAAAATATCCAGGGAATTGATTGATCAATCCCAGGAATTTACAATGAGCTGTGTGGTTGGGCTGCTGCACTCTAGCCTGGGCAACCGAACTATATCTATTAAAAAAAGAAAAGAAAAAAGAATGGAGATAAATGAAATAGAAAATAGCCCCCTCCAAAAAAAAAATCAATGAAACCCAAATTTGGATCTTTGAAAAGATCAACAAAATTGACAAATTTCTTTAACTTGAATAATCAAGTTTTTCTTAATTTAAGATTCAAATTAACAGTACTTATTGGAAAATGAAGTAGAGACATCACTACTGATCTTACATATGTGCAAAGGATCATAAAGAAATACTATGGGGCTTGGTGCCTGTGGCTCAATCGGCTAGGGCGCCAGCCACGTACACCTAAGGTGGCGAGTTCGAATGCCCAGCCTGGGCCACCAAACAACAATGATGGCTGCAACCAAGAAATGGCCGGGCGTTGTGGCGGGCGCCTGTGGTCCCAGCTACTTGGGAGGCGGAGGCAGGAGACTCGCTTGAGCCCAGGAGTTGGAGGTTGCTGTGAGCTGTGATGCCATGGCACTCTGCCCAGGGTGATAGCTTGAGGCTCTGTCTCAAAAAAAAAAAGAAACACTATGGATAATTGCATCTAAACAAATTAGATGACTTAGACGAAATGAGCAAAATCATAGAAACACACAATGTATTAAAACTAACTCAAAAAGTAATTGAATAGCCAGGCACAGTGGCTCATGCCTATAAATCCAGAATTTGGAAGGACAAGATGGGTGGATTGCCTGAGCTCATGAGTTAGAGACCAGTCTTAGTAAGAGCAAGACCCCATCATTAAAGCATAGCTGGGTGTTTTGGTGAGCACCTGTAGTCTCAACTACCTGGGAGTCTGAGGCAAAAGAAACATTTGAACCCAAGCGTTTGAGGTTGCTGTGAGCTAAGATGCCTCAGCACTCTACCAGGGGTGACCTAGTGAGACTCTGTCTCAAAAAAAAAAAAAAAAGTAATAGAACATTTCAATATACATATGACAAGTAAAGAGATAGAAATATTTGTTTAAAAAATTTCTACAAAGAAAAGCCCAAGACCAGATGTTTTCACTAGTGAAGTCTACCAAATTCTTAAATTAAAACTGAACCATTACAAACTCTTCCCAAAAACTGAAGATGAGGGAGGAAGCACTCCCCAACTCATTGTATGAGACCAGCATGACTCTGAAATCAAAGCCAGAAAAAAAGATATCGCAAGAAAAAAAAATACAAAGTAATGTCCTGTGAATGTAGACAACAAAATCCTTAATAAAATATTAGCAAATGGAATCCAGCAGCATGTTAAAAGGATTATATGCTTTGGCATTTATCCTAGGAGTGCAAAGATGGTTCAATGTATGAGAATCAATTCCATGTAAATGTACCATATTAATAAAGGACAAAAATCACATGATCATTGTAAAAATGCAGAAAAGCCATGATGAAATCACTCAACAGATGAAGACTAGAAGGGAATTTCCTCAACCTGATAAAAAGCACCTGTGAAAAACTTACAAGTAACATTGTACATAGTGATGAAAGACTGAATACTTCTCCTGCTAATCTCAGTAACAAGACAAAAATGATTACTTTCACTACTTCTATTTAACATTATACTGAAGGTTCTAGGCAAGGAAATTAGGCAATAAAAAGGAATAAAAGACATCCAGATTGGAAAAGGAAAATGTAAAACTATTTCTTTTCACAGGTGACATACTGTACATAGGAAATCCTTGAATTCACTAAAAAGCTATTAGTTGTAATAAACAAGTTTTGCAAGGTTGCAGGATTCAAGATCCATGCACAAAAATCAATAGTATACATTTGCAATGAACAATCAAAAAATGAAATTAAGGAGGCAAAGATGGCCAACTGGAGCCAGCTTTCCACAGAGGCTCCCATCTAGAAGGAGAGTTAAAGGACAGAAGTTTAGCAAGTAAGCTGATGGTTTGGAGCTGAGCCAAGAGAGAAGGTTGAAGAACACACA